ATTAAGCTGCGTTCCTTTTTATTAGCCCTTAAGTGTTACTCGACGAGAAGTTGGACATCCCATCGCTCGAGGAAATCGCCCGCACGCGGCTCGTCCGCGCTATCTCGGAACACCCATTTGTCCCGTTTTATTGCGATTAACATACGATCGTAAAATCACGAGGTCGCGCGCTCGTGATCTGTAAAACGATTGCTACGCGAGCGCAGGACCGAACGACAAGATGTGCCCTCGCGATCGGCGGGGACCCGTTTGAGGACTGAGACAACAAGACGAGCACGGGCGGTCGATTTCCTCCCTTCACATTTTACGTGTCGGACGAGAATCGTAGATCGTAAAGAATCGTAAACCTCTAACTCCCCCCCCCCTCACCTATAATAATACATCGTTACGTCGGACGGCACAATTTGCCGCCGTCCCTCTTTCGCGGTGCAGCGTGCGGCGGCGGTGGTGGTCTTTTTCCTTTTAATTTCACCTCGACTTTGCGATTTCGCGTAAAAAAGTGCTCCAGTCGACTGAACCTACAATGTTGTAACTTTATAACGAGTCGCGTACTATTTTATACGGACGAAATATTTCGCGGATATCACTTAGCGTCGCTCACGAAGAGCTCGCAGATTGAAATAACATACCGGCGTAGAATACAGGTGAACATTATAAAATTTTACTTTTACAATTTACGTCAGAAAATATCGTTTCATTTTTTTTTTGTCATTGGATTTCTCGTAGCGGAAATTTTTTTTATCGTGAATTAAAGGAAACGTTTCGTTGCACATATTTCAGAAATGCTATATCGGTCACCCGCTTACATGAAGAATCAATGAGCGGCCGTGTATTGGTCTTACCTTGTTCAATATCACGCAGCAGCGACTTTCCCATCCGGCTGTGCAAAGCACAAACTGCATACGCACGTGGGCGTACATATATGCGCTTATTCGCTATTTACAACCGGAACGAGATCGGCCGAGATTCGGTGATCAATACCGAGCTCGTTTACGCGTTCCCGCGCGAGTTCACTTCGGTCTCCTGTGAATTAGAAATGCTGGGAAACACTCGCCAAGTTCCATTCGTTAAACGCGGCTTCATCGAGGAACCGAACTTATCAACTGGAACAATTCAATTGTACGCAGTAAAGATATTTTTCATCGTGAAAAATCGCTTTTAGCTTACTGGTTTTTGTACAGATTTCTAAAGCTGTAACAGCTCGCGCATACATTTCCCACGTTGATAAATCTTTCAGAATTATCAAAAGATTTCCAAAATTTGCGTTTGTAAAGCTCGTTAGGTGCGGCCGGATAGGAATCAATGAAAATGCGGCTATTAAACACGCGGGTACAATCGAAATCCTCGACAACGAGATCGGAAATCCCGTACACGTTCTCGCGCATCGCACGCACGTATTCCGCGACGGAATTTACGAGCGCCGCGATACATCGCGATTTGATGGGATAGGCGCCGAAATGCGTAGCCCATTTTCGATTATCAATTATATGTCATCGCGTCGCCATCGCCGTCGTCGTCGCTGCAGGCTGCACCGCACCGTCGAAATGCAGTTCGAGCGCATTTCCAATTATTCTGCCGCATATAAACGTTGTCTTTCCCCGCTCCCCCGCCCGCCCCCTAAACTCATCGACTGCTCTTAGCCCATGACATAAATTGTGTGTCTCTCTCTATATATATATATATATATAGATTTTGTGTAAACCAAAGAAAACTATGTCTCGTCTATATGTCGTACACCCGAACTTTGTTCGATCCATTTCGCCCTCCGTCACTCAACGAATCAACATCAACCGTTTCTGATTGATATATCTGTACAGCGTGTGTGTCGCATGTTATGTGTGTATATATATGTACAGAAATTAATGGCCGTTCCGTGTTCGTGCGCGTTCGGCGTAGCTGCATGCCTTCTTGACGACGCGTAGGGTAATATCTAACCGCTCGCACGCAGATTCCCTTTCCTCCGTGTCACGTGTCTATGTACGTGTTCGCCCGGCAGACTAAACCAACAAACAGGGATCGGAGTAATTTTCGGCGAGTTCTCGCCACGGTGCTACATGTGAAAACGGTCTCCGTTTATCTGCCGAGAATTGGCGTTTTCCATATCCGAAGCGTCGAGAATTGAAGCGTCCGAACTTGCTTAAACTACAGTTTGCAGTTCCGATTCTCTGATTACGAAGAGAGTATGTGCGTTTGTTCACGCCTAACGTTACATATGCACACGTGGACACTTGAATATAAATTTGTGCAAACTGTCGTTAATAAAGAGCATAATTAGTCGCGTTCGTTCGCGATGCAGTTTTCATTATCACAGAGTGCAACCGTACTTGGACCGTGACATTCCTTCCTTTGTGTCAAATCTGCTAGCGCATATTCTTTCGCGATCATTCCTCGAAATCACATCTTTAGAAACGCGCGAGCAATTCTCTCGCATTGGAGAATATACGATGTAAAGAGAATTGTGGATTAGAAATGTAATTCGCCGGTCAATGATTGACTGTGATTCTCGTATCTATGAAAAATGTTCATTTAATTATCGTTTATTTTTCAATCGAGAAGCACGAAACGACATCAAATTACATCATTTCTAATTGATTACCGACTAATTGTTTGCATGCGTGCACTGATTCATTTGTAATATGAATTGAAACCACTATAATTTGGGAGCAAGCCTATATTTCAATATTACGCTCGCGCGAAGATAATCTCTATGTTTATTCAAACCAATGGAAACACGATAATCGTCGTAAGGTACATTTGGCCATACTCACAACGCGGAAAATTGAGCTCACCAAATTATACCGATTTCGATTGGATTTACAGGTGGGAATAGCGGTCGGTAGCGAAAAACGGCTCGTTACCGCATCGAATTGCCAAAAGCTGCAAATTATTCCAACAAGCGCGCTCGATTGCTCACGAGAATCGGCAGAGAATTCTGCGGAGGGCTTCTTAACATCATCGGCTTGATTAAACGTGTCGGATATATAAGGGGACGTTATGTATGAAGATTGAATTAAATTAGTTAAAGGGGGCTGCGGCGCCGCACCGGTGCATTTGCATCTCGAGACGTCCATTCCCGATGCATCGCGCTGGCGTAGTAGACCGCGCATAACCGTTCCTGTGAATAAAGACCGTGAACTAAGCTGCGAAGCAAAATATACGTGTCGCGATGAATTATGAGGGGCTAACTTTACGAGCCCGACGTATCCGTCGTAATTTTCGTTGCGAATTTCACGATACAAGCACCTGCTGCTACGGCCAGCGCGATGTGCTCGCCCGATGAAATTATTACGGCGGATAATCGAGAGGAAGGATCAATGGGAACGGGAAGGAAAAAGAGCGACGGTGATAAAGCGAACGAATCGAATTTATTGGCAGAATATACGAAGTGTTGGATACGGAATTTTCTCGAGAGAACGAGGAAATAAACGTCACGTAACCGGTCGAATTCTCTCCTGCAGATTGTGATTGCTACATCGGCAACTCCCATCCAATTTTCTCAATACGAGCGCGACGCAGATTTTCACATGTATCTTGGAAAAGGAGAAGTTTCTTTTCTTCTCCAAGATATACGAAGTGCATCGGCGTCTATTGAATTTTTATCAAATTCGTTTTACCGTCATTGTGCCCGGGAATATTGAAAAGTAACGTCTTTACGAATAATAACCTGCCCTGAGGAATAACATTCGTCTATATCGCGAGAAAGCTCCAAGCGCGGAGAGACGTTTTGCGAGATTTGCATAAACCGCGAACGTTCGAGGTGTTCAATAATTCGTCTGAAATCATCGCGCATAATTTCTGATTAGCACTTTGATCTCCTGCATCGATGATCAATACGCTTTCGCATATATTGGTATGTCGAAACGTCCAAAGTAATCCCCTCTGTCAGGGAAGGCTTTTTCAGAGCCTCGGGTGGCCTGCAAGCAGGAGCCAGCCGAACCGTATCCTATTTGGCTCCAGATCAAAGAGCAACAGATACCCGACGAGAGAGCGATATGAGACTTAAAAGAAACCGGAAGATCTTCGACGAGATATCTCCAGTGCCGGCTTTATTTCCCGTTCGACGAGCGTGTAGATAGCAATGGAGACGGAAGTAACACAAGTCCGAGAGATCCTTTTTAATTACTTTAATATAATTACAGTGCGATATCCGTCGGAAAAATAGCGAATCGTGAAATTTTTCGATCGGTCGTTATAAATCCCAAATTGTGCGGAGCAATCGAGCGCGAAATCTACATGAATCGAGATGTCCTTCGAGCCAATATTTTATCGTCGCACAGAGGATTATACGAATGGAGATGGATGCTATTGATTTTGCCTTTCGCAAATCCCTTAGGCTAATATTTCATTTATCGTACCTTAAACTTGTCAAACAGGAAACTTACGGGGCTCTCGAAAAAACTTCTCGTGTCTTCGGAAATCACTTACCGTGAAATATTGGTCTAAGGCTTTGGAAGTGGCAATCGATCCGCTTTCATTTCTTCGAGTTCTACGTGCGATACAAATGCACGCTGGCTTGTCGAACACTCGCGACAACACGTACGACACGAATCTGAGTTCCGTACAAAGAGCGACCGTGTAATTTCGCATGCATTCAAAACGAAATCATGTAAGTCGCGAACACTCCCCGCCGGCGGAGACTTGTTAACCGCGCGGAAAGCAATTTTCAGCGATGGTAAAGAGCCAGTTTTCCGCCTGTCGGCCGCACGAATGCGTTTTTCCAGGCGTGCTGTTAGCACGACACGCCGTCCCGCGAGGGAGAAACCACCTCGCACCGTCCCGCGGCCGGACGGACTTCCTCTCCGTCTTGCACACCTTATCGCGCAACGTCAGAGTTGCGGAAGCAATCGTCTCGCAGACAGACGCATAGAGTAGATGGTAGAATGTAGACGCGGGCGAAATATTGTAGTAGTTGCATGCGCATGTTCGGCTTCGAGTTACCTAACGGAATGCCCCCGTCGTGTAGATACGTGCCCGTCTTAATCAAACTTTGACCTTGGTAGCTCGATCTGGTACTCAACTCAGAAGAGGGTGGTGACTTATCCGATTTCATCATGAACGGGGAATGGTACCTCATCGGTGAGTTTCAAAGAGCCTCAAGTTTACGACTTGTCAGGCCAATCAGAATCTGCCTCTGTATTGGCACATGTGTGTTTGTATGCGTGAGCAAACGTATCTCTAGAGACCTGAGAATCTCGATACGTATCGATGAGTAGATTCTGCGATACCGATCTGGAAAAAAAAGGAAAAACAGAACGTTGAATCAAGTGGGATCAGAACTGTGAAAATGTCTATGCGCGTTTAAACGAACGAATATGAATTTTTGCGGACTCTTATTGATTATCGCTCGATACTTTGTCGTTTGAGATTGATACGTATTAGCGACGAGTGAAAAACGTCGGGGATATTTTTTTTGTGTACGTCCAAATGTGACACCTTGTCTCTCGCCAGAAGTCGCTTGATTGAGAGAAATTGAATTTTAAATCACAATTTGGCTGGCACGTTGTTTCGTCGGCCGAAACGTGACGAATCGAGACGAAGTGCGTTCTATTTCGGGAAGCAAAAAGAAAATAATCGGCAGATCTGAAAAGGAGGAAAAAATCTGTTTGGCATAATTTAAATTCTCTCTTGCTGTTTCACGTCGAGGCCGTAATCCTCGTCTGTCCTAGGCGCACATGCACAAATGATAATGCACCTACGTTAATCCGTCGCAATTTGCGAATCTGTTTGTACAGCGTGTACACTACGAAAGTACAGAATGAGAATGGAATTACGAATAGAATGCAATAATATATCGCAAAGGGCAGAGCTATTTCGAGCAATTTAACGATTCTATCTTCCGCGAGGAGTAATTATGCGGTTTTAACTTTAACAGCGCGAAGTAGGATTTAATCTTTCGTCCGCGTTTCGTGCTGTGCCACGTACAATAACGTAGGTGTCTATTAATTACACCATCTGGCACGTTCAATAACGCAGGATCGGGAGCAATTTGTTGCTTCCAAGTAGCGAACCTTTACTTACGGACTGTTACTCGCAACGGACTAAAATTTCCATTTCCCGCTTCCTATCCGTCGTTTAGTAAGAGCACGAGTATGTATATCCAAGTTACGAATGTCTTTTCATGCAGCTGTACATTCGCAACTACAACTATCGTCTCTGTATTGCGAGATTGCGAGTTTTGAAAATGCCAACAAAAAATGCCAATTATTTGCACAAAACCAAACTTTATTAAAATAATAACTAGCTTTTCTTAATATGATAATAGCGAGAGCTGAACTCCGCGACAACTATATTTCCAAATTATATTCGCTTTTTTTAAAGTAATTCTTACAATTACTTAACAGAATAAATAACTTTCCCTTGTTTTTCATATATTTTGACATATAAAAAACTCGTGCAAAAATATGAGAGTCAACATAGTGCCGTATAAAAAAAATTTTTTTTTTATTTGCGTTGCATTCTTTACCCTTTTAATAAACGCTAGCTGTCGCGATGATAAAAAAAAATTGTCAAGAAATGTATTACGAGAAAAAACCTGTCACCCTAATTCGTTTCTCGACAGATTCTGGGACACAAATTTCGCTGGTGATACGAAACAGCGTCATCGGTGTGTGAAGGAATGCTGATGGAAATCGTTAAGAAACCGCGCCCCCCCGGCTTTCTGCCGTGCTTCGCAAATGCTGCATCGCGGCATCTTCGGAGCTTTTCCGTTTCGCGCGAAGTCGCGATCGATGTCACGGGTGAAGAGAAATCGCGTGATTTTATGGGGCCTCGCCGTGTCTTGTGACGGGTACAGCTTTATGACGGTACCCCTTCGCGGTGGCATGACTCTCTTCGTATCGCTGTACTCTCTTCCTTCTTTCTTACCCTTACGTCTCATTTATTGGTTCGTATCCTTTTACGACTACATTCCTCGTGTTCGCGTATCGGAAAGTGCTGTTCTCATGCACAGCGGTTTTCTCGAAGTGGATCCGAGATTCGTCGCGCCAAAGCTGCAAGAGAGATGGAATTTGTGATAGTCTCGATTTTGTCGTCTTGAAAAAAATTCTGAAAATATCCGCACACACACACACACATAAGGGAAGAATTCCTCACGAAAGAAGGGCGCATTTCTTCTGGAACGAGACTCTAAAAGAGCAAAAGAGACTCATAAAAAGTTCGCGTAAAAAATGTAAGAATCAACATATGTCGTGCCGTATAAAATGCCGTATAAAAGAGTTTGCATTGATACATTATATATATATTTCTGTTTTTGTGAATTTATCACATCAAACAGACGGCTTTTTCGGTTTAAAACGGAGACGCTGAACAAACAGGCTTGAAGCGAAGCTAATCAATACCAAGCTTCGACTGTTTGAAAAGCTGGCAGAGACAAAGTGTGCTCGATTGCGACACCAAAAAATAAAACACGAGAACACTAGAGCTCGATGTCTTCGACCTATTGCAGAACCGACAAAACAACATATGCGGTGTTTCGTAAACGTAGTGAACATCTGTCGATACATCGACGCGACGCGCTTAATTAAAAATACAGCATTACTTTCTCTAAAACCGCCGTATTTTTTCAGATGCGCTAATTATCTCGAGGCGAATGCCTAAAGTAGAGTCGCGGCGATAGAAATGTAAAGAAAAAGAGCGGACCGGTGGACCGGGCGGACTAGCAACAAGTGAATATCCAATACCGCAACGTTCGATTCGAAAAACCCGATCGAAAGCTATTAAGAAGCTCTTCGTCCTTAAAAGTATCATATGGTCGCGGTCAAGAGTCGCCGAGCAGATTTTCACCATCTTGGTCGGAAACGCGCCAGCAGGTGCCACCATGTTTAAAGCGCGCGAAAAGAGCAAGTTCCGTTTTATCGCGGCTCGCATATGTCGTCGCCATTCGTTCGCTGGTAACTTAAATCGTCGCGACATACCGGGACAAAGTCGCCGTGGTAAAAAGAGAATAAGGAACACTTCGCAACTCGGCGAGATCTCTTCGCTCTTTACGACGAGATGTAATCTCGAGGTAGTTTAAAACAAAACCGCGAGAAGCGGTGGTAGAAAAATTATTACGGCAAGCCCGACGTGACTCACTCACGCGAATCTTTCAGCGCAAGATGCCGCCGAGACTCAACGGCGTTTGTAAGTTTTCTTACGAGTCCACGTAGCTCCGTGGTAAAACAGATGAATGGATGATAGATAGATCCTACTTTATTTCTTGTGGTTTTAGTCCCCGCAGGATACGGTACAGGTATAGTAATAAGAAATAAAGAAGATAAAAAGGCGGTAATAATAAAAATACAGTCCGCGAGACAGAGATAGTGACAGAGATAAGTAGACGGGCGCTTTATTATATTCTTGGCAGGAACACCGTCGCATAAGAACAATAGGGTCGAGATATAATGCAGCGTGCGATGATGAAAGGAGGGTGAATGAGAAAACGAATGAATTGTTCAGAATGTAATCGAGAACGCAATCGAGAGAGACGGGCGATTACACCGTCTTATGTGAAATATCGATATGATTTTTTAGTCCTTTAGAAAAAAGACACATGTCGGCGTGTACATCGGTGCTGGCACTTTTTCCAGGTATGCCGGGGAAGAAGAACACGATAATGTATCAGTGCTGCCCGGAGCCGTACGTCGACGTCACGTTCACGATACAGATACGCAGGAGGACTCTCTACTACTTTTTCAACCTGATCGTGCCCTGCGTGCTGATATCGAGCATGGCCCTACTGGGCTTCACCCTGCCGCCCGATTCCGGCGAGAAGCTCACCCTAGGTAACGTAACTCGTAGCATGCCTGCCTGCACACCAGCCAGACACATCTCTTCCTTTTTTTCGGTTGGTTCGTTGGAATTGTTACTGTTCACACGATATGTAATATATACACGATAGAATCGACTTAGAATAGAGATTTACGAGACGCATAGATTTTTTTAAGACGCGACGAAATCACACACGTAAATCGCCTAATTATTGAAACTTTGATTTTTTACAAAGTTGAGAAGTGAAGTGATTTTTTTTCAGACGGATAGAAGATTTTTATTTTAATTACGAAGTCGAGGAACTTGAAGCTAGTTTTACTGAGGATTTAGATTTATACTTTTACTCGTGAATTTTTGCGTATAGAAATTTTTCTTCTAGCTTAGCTTCCAACTTGTGCCTTTTCAATTAGTGAATGACAACTTAATTAGTGAATGATGGGATCACATCCTGTTGCGTGTAAGACGGTATACCGTGATGTATATATTACATATCTACACGCGTGTTTACGTCTTTACTTTTCTGTAAGTACTTTCCGTTGATACTTTATACTCTCGGCGCCACTGCTGACTGTCCTACGTTTGTTTCGTTTTGACGACGGAAGGAAGTAGGCGAGATCGACTCTACTTCGATCACGGACGACTAAATGACGTCGCGCAACACTTTCGTCGGGCGACTCTCATGTAACGGCGATCTATACAGCGAAACTCCATTTCGTTTTCCTCTCACGGACCACACGCACACTTTTCCGGTTGCGTCGTTAAAACGTTCGGGACGGGCTCTCGATGTCACGAAAGCTCTTGTTCCCGGATATTTATCACCGACGACGACGGTGCGCGTGTACTTTCACTCACGTATCAATTAATCGAAATCGTAGCTTCGCAATTACTTAGCCAATAGGAGTTTTATTATCGTCGCATCAGTGTTGGTGAAATAGATTATTATTCTTCAAATAACTTCTCCATTTTAATCTCGATTTTTGCTTCGATTTAGCATCTATCATTGAATTATATCGCTGTATTTAGACAGACAGATCATCTTTCGAAACTCAGAGTTCGATCATTTAATTGTGATAAGCAGGGATTTAAAAGAATCTTGTCGTAGAAAAAAAAAAACAACAGCCTCGAGATAAATGCGTGCTTAGTCGAAGTCGATATTTCTCACTATAATATTTATTGCTCATACTCACGCGGATAATGTTGTTTTACGACGTGTCGAATCCTTCGATGCATGTTGTGTGCGTTTCTTGCGCCCACCAGACGCCACTGCGGTCGCTACGTTGCCTCGTAAAATCGCAATATCTATGGGCGCCTTCGAGGTCTCACGGGCTTATACGTCCGCGTTTACATTTACGAAGGATCGTTCGACGAAGAGTGCCGCGTGATTTGAATTTTGGATACGTCGGGCAACCGGTATATCGCGTTAACCTGTAAGGGCGCGCTACATGTTACATGATACACCACGGATCTCGACATGTAAACGCCGCCAGCGATGCATATTTCAGAGGCTCGACAGAATAAGCCTCTCTCGAACGGCTCCTTTGGTCCTGCGGCAACGGTAGCCCACGTTGAAATATTACACAGCCCCCCGAAGTCCTTCAATGGGCACTGTACTCGGCAGTATCGACGAAACTCGGACGCATTCTGCGTCAAATAAGCGCATCCGCAGACACTTCCGTTTTAACAAAATGGCCGCGCGAACGGACGCCATTGGATCCGATAAAAGTGACAAGTCGCTAACTGCGAAGAGAGAAAATCGAAGACTTCATAATTCGAAATGGTCTATCTCAATTGGGAATCGAACGATCGACGGAATACCGATAATGCTGAGCTCAATTATTCAAGGTTAACACTCGAATAACTATCAGCAATCGCACCTCCATCGCGGGGTGACCTTACACTAAAGCGTCGAATGAATTGCATAAAATGACACCCGCGCACCCTCGTGAATATTCATGGCGCACCGGCAGATCCAATCTCCAGTTCTCGATGGTATATCTCGGCCAGAGTCTGCATCTCCTTTCGTCGAACTTTTTGACGTGTCAGAAATAATGGGATTTCTCCCCGCGGGACGCCTCGCGCAATTTTTCTAAGATCGCGCGGCGTCGGCCAACTAATCGCCGTAAGGACCAAAATCTTTCGACAGTTATCTCTCGTCGATTTCTCGCTCCTACAAACGCTTCCTCGCCTCGCAGTAGCGATTTTTTGCTTGTTTTTTTCTCACTTCGTTTTCGATCAGACTTTCCAAACACGCCGAACCGTATAATTCTCGCCTTGTATCGGAAGCAATTCGACGAGGGGCTCGATGAAATCGGGCGGGACATCAAAGCAGGATATTAGAGAACCGTTTCACTCGTGTATCGATTCCGATTGCGAGCAAACTCGTTTCACAATGTATACTCGTCGGCACGTGACTCGCCGTCCAAGTCGTCAAATCTCTTCTCACTATATGCTCTCGATACTTCCTCACTTATTACTAATATTACTTCCTTTCGCGGAAGCCCTCTGCTATTTTTCGCTCCTGGATTAGCCGGAAATACACCTTTGTAATTATGATGGATTCATCGCGAAAATTCGTGCCGAGTTTCTCAGCCGTTTTCCCATCTGTCATATTTAAGAGAACTTCCGAAAGCTGTGGCAATTACTGGGCGATATCTCTGTGCAGGGATGCCATATTTCCCCATTAACTCTTTCTCAAAGATTTAACAAACCACCTACAATTCCTTTCCCCATCTTATACAAGATACAAATATAGAAATGCGAGTGAGTCGAATCGACGGGCAGTGCGAATCGTTTTTAAATATTTTATAATATTTTTAAAAATTGATCCGATTTGTTTGTCCTTATCTTATTTTTTATTAAAGTGAATTGTAAAAAATTAAAAATATTAAAAACGATCCGTTTCATCCGCCAATCCGATTCACTCGTATTTACCTAAAACATGACGTTGAATTCATATTTTTAACTTTTAATTATTAGATATAACATGTCGTTACATGAAATAATGATATATATTTTTGCTATATTATTTTCTATATTTTTTTACATGAGCGACAATCTCGCTTTGGTAGGTCATCTCGAATGAACGGTTTGAGAAACGACTTTTTCGTTCGTCGCACGCGAGAATTGAATTTCCCTGTGGTACTTTGGGAAAACGACAACACAGAATCGATGTCGACGCCGATTCATTGCCGTCTATACTGTCGTCCTCGTGTCCGAGGCTACTCTCGACAGACATTACGGCGTTATGGCGTTAGGGACGAACTGGACATCGCGCGTTCTTTACGTCGCGCATTATTTTCGGTAGCTCGCAAAATAACGTGAAAATATTTCCTCTCGCCGCTCAGCGCGGCCCTCGTACAGCTCGAAATGCTCAAATCAATGTCACTTCACGAATATATATCGACAGATCGAGACTTTATTGTCTGTTAAGTTTTGCTTTATTATGACGTCAATGAATTTCGATTAAATTACGCTATAAATTAAATTACAAAGTAAGGAGAAATTTACAGTTTCCGAGTCTTCCCCTGAGATGTTTGAGATATAGATTATACAGAATGTTCTAAAACCTTTAACCTTAATTAATTCTTTGACTAACTTGGAGTTTTCCTTTAAGTAAAATGTCGAAGCATTATTATTACCTGAGATGTGAGCAATTGAAAGTAGAACACTTTTTGTACAAATAGAATTCGAGGAATAACTTTCCGCGGATGCTTTTAAATTAATAAAATCTGATTGTTTATTTTTCAATTCTCGGAAAGATCTGTTTTTGTAATATTTTTATTTATAATTTATAAACATAACATTGAATATCAAATCAATATAATGACGACCTTCTATTTTTTTTTTTTTTTAAATGCAAAAACCAATTGTGACATCGATTCGTTCATATTCGTCAAAACAGCTGTCATTGAATTAAAAATTAAAATTCTGCACGTTGTGGTACCAACTGTACTCGAATACTCGTCAATATCCCGCATGCACATGCGACGTCGACATAATAAAAAAACGCGAGCGGATGATCGAACGAGATGGCAACCACAGCGAGGGTTGTTGTCACGTTAAAAATTGACGGCTTTATTATTCAGCGCCACGTAATTTTTCGGATAGAGAGGAAAAGCAAGTAATTCAGTCGGAACATCCTGTCGATGGAAGAGACAGGATACGAATGTGCGCTCATACCGTCAAATGCCTCGTAAAAGTAAAAACGCAGGTGCGCACGCGAATACGAATAACGCTCGTTACGTATTTTTACGTATTTTTTTCGCGATCTATAAAATGAAAGAAAAAAAAGAACACGAAGCAAATAATTTCGAATTAGAATTTACGTTTACACATTGTAATTTGATTTTGAACAAATTGTCAATCGTTATTCTGCTGAGTTAGTGATCGTGCTAAACGCCATAGCGCAAGTGTTCGGCGATGTGGCGAGCTTTCCATGCCTGCAATTTGCGCTTGACGCTGTCGACTATGGCAAGTTGCAGTAAATCCTGGCATTGCAGCGCGGTTATATGGCGAGGTACCTCATTATAACGTGTCATACTTCATAAGATAGTTCCCGGATATTATAATAATGAAAGGCGGTCACGTCTAAGCATTGTGCGAACGTTGCTTAAACTTTAACCGCTTTTTAAGTATTAATATACTTTCTAAGTATTAACAAAATTTTTTTCTTTTAATTTTCTAGCAACTTTAATATTAATTAAAACCAATATACTCGACTGAATATTCAACAGTCGTGCGCGAGTTTACTTAATCAAATTATTAAATACCTCTATTACAGAAGCCAACTATCGTTTTCCAAGCTGAAATGAAATAAAATCAGAATTTCAAACTGTGGTTTGACGAGCACTTGTTACGCTGGTACTGTAAAAATTAAACGAGCTAGGAATTACACGTCGATCTCAATCCCACGCTGACTAAAGTCCCGTTTTTCCGCGTTTAATAACAGCCCATAAAGGTTCACCGACTGAAAACAAGAAAAGAATTCCGACCCCGTAGCGCCGGTGATTTTATC